TCAACAGTACAATGGCTATCTGCACACTCATTTACTCACTCCTGTCACTGCAGTAATAAGTACTTAGTGCTTTACATAATTTCTCTTACAAGCGTTAGCGATATCCTGCGCATCAATCCCATGTTAAGCCATGGCAATCAGGTGTTATCCAATCTGTCGGGGTTGAAAGTGCTAAAAGGTATTTAGTGCGCGATATATATCATGAAGTGAATGCCACTATAGTGATGCAAGTGCTGCAGGTGGGCTTCACATGAGATGCGCACAAATACATGACAATAAACTCTCCCGCAAAAAGTCACCTGGCAAGTCAATCAATCCGCTTGCTCAGATATAACATTTTAGTTATTAATGACATAACAAAACTTTATCAACTCCATTTTTGTGCCGCGAGTTTAAATACAAACATGAAGTGCCTCCTGCTTATAAGCGGGAGTCGATCTTTCCAAATCTCACTGGTGAAAGCAAACTGGGTCTTGGGAAGACCAACATCGCCCTTTCACTGTGCTACGGTAAGGTGGACAGATTTTATGGAAACTTAAGTTGGCCGCCCAAAAGTGCCTACACCATAATCAACGGTTCTTCGTACTGGCACAACCGGTTGGAGTAAGTCCGTTTGCGTTAGTTGCCGTGAGAACTGCATTATCAACCTGTGAAAGGAGCCACAGCTACCCGTTTTATGCTTTCTGGATAGTAGCATTACTTGAGCAACAAAATTGCGGCGGAATTCCAGCGTGTACTCCACGCTTAGTCACTGCGACTTGGAGAAGAGGCTCTGCAAGCTGTTAACTGATTCATGTTTCCTATTGAAGAGAAATGCACCAAACGATTGTTTTGAAATTGCAGCGACTATTCCGAACTTAGTATAATTAGTAGTAGAAAGTTAAGTGCAGGAAAATTAAGTGCCTATTTGTGCATATTTTGGTTATGTGCGAAGAGTGATTGTTTTTTTGCACTGATCACAGCCTCAATTACGAAATCGAAATTCACAGACGTCAAACGCAAATGTAGTAAACGAGCGAAAGTTGTACTTCGATAGTTGTGTGTAACTCACCGCAAAACTCTATACAAGAAGTAGTTCTACCCTACTTGCCAATCCATCCATAACCTCATGTGGAGGAAATAAGTTATTATAACTGACACACTGTGTCACTTTCAGTAAGAATTCCTACAAATGTGATAATTGGTACCTCTTGATACTTAATCGACTTTAATCGTCGCATTAGCGCAACCATTTAGGACTGGATCTGAGTCATTCAACAAGTCTCGTTGATTGCTTTTGATTAAACCCTCAATCTGCCGACACAAATATGCTTTTTTTTATCCTGTTAAGTTCATTTTTCTTCCGCCGCAATGGTTTGCTAAATTTCTCCTCCCTTGCTTCCCACTTACGAGGAAATTTCAATTAACCTCGATTAATTTTAGCCCAATCATCAGGAGGAGAAAAAAACGTGTCGATGATTCACTCTGGAGGAAGAAAAACTTTGTTGTCGGCGTGGTGATAATGAAGTCGTATTAATGAATTTCAACCGCCCTTGAGTTGTGCTGCAAAGTTTGTTGGACCTATCGAATGCAAATAATACCAATTTTATCATGAGTTTGTGCAAACACCAAACTAGTTTAGTATCATTTACCAAGTAAATTGGTGCTCATTTAGCCACTTTGATGATCTTAAGGAGCGGAATTTGGGCATTTAGCCTAAGCACCTAAAGTACGAAGAAGGGAATTGGCCAAACGCTGATTAGAACATATGTATGGCGAATAATCTGCTCCAGTTTATGAAATACTAGAAAATGACCTGCTCACTCTGCCTAGAATTGCTTATTTTGTTCACCTGCCGAATGCGAACCACAAGGTGAGGATCTCGTTTGCGCCGTTTCTGGTTGACCGACTAGAGCGGTGTGCAGCGGCTAGAAAAGAACACCACAGACGCTTGCCTTATTTTTGGAATATGCAAGACAGAGGTGGGGAGGTTATAGGGAATGGTGAACTAGGTAACAGCAAAAATACAAAATCTTGAGGAACTAAGAGGATACATCATATACAGGAAGTAAACTTGGTTATACAGAATAAATCGCAGTGGGTAAGTGGGATATCTGAGCTGCTTTGCGTCAGAGTCCGTATTGGGGCTGAGTCAGTATCATTTCCCATTAATTAGTAAAGAGTTTGTCAGTGGTAAGTTAAGAACATATTTAAATCGCTAACCAAGGGATCTGGACATTAGTTCCAGTAAGCCCTTTGTTCAAAAATGGTCAACTTTGAGCGCAAAGGCAAAATTCGAAAATTAACTGCCAAATCAGTATTGACAAACTCTGGACTTCAGCCGAACGACTTAGACAACTCCATATTTTCAACCTTCTGCAATTATTTCAAAATATTATTTGGGCAGAGGCATTGGGCCATTAGGAAGAGCAAATGACGCCGCCTTCAAATCTCCCCAACTTACTAATATCACCAAGTTATTAGCGAATTTATCGTTTTACATAAGTAAAAGGTTCATAATGTTAACGTCATAAAAGGGTAAGTAAAATAAAAACTTGAGATCATTTCGTGCTACTCCATACCATCAAGCTACTTTGCTTTATTCAAAGAAGAGGGATAAACCTTAATTGCCCTGTCAAACCGTCCTTATCTATTTACAGATCAAGAGTGATTTAAAGCGATGTCCGAAGGGATTTTGCCGAACAAAGTTGATTTTAAGAGATTGATCCCATAGCCATGCAGTTACAGGTTGGAAAGCCAACCCATGCCATGCTTAACTAGGCCATTCAGTGCACTCGAAAGAACCACATTTTGGGAATCACTGAAACAGACAAGTAGATGGTACTCACGCAAGTAAATTGAGACCCATTTTTTGACAGCCATGTCTACTTAACGTCACAAAGCCTCTTCGTTCAATAGCCATCCACTCGTCAAATGAAGGATTATTACCCCTCGATCGTCACGAGAGCTAGGAACGAAATATCCTAACCTGGTCATTGCATAAGCTTGACGGTACACATTACTAAGGTCTCATACTCACAATCGCAGCAACATCACTCTTTATACGCTTCTTGACGAAGGGATCTTTGATTGGTACTTACCATAAATTAATAATATAAACAGTCAAGACGACTTATTTCACCCATGGCACCTATAACTGAATTGAAAATTAGTTCTGCTGGTAACTTTTGGAACTTAAAATGAGAATACCTTGACTGATAGGATTGACCAAGGGATTTCATAGCTTAAAATAATCAACGATAAGACGCCATCTGGTAGGAACAGTTTTGGACTACACTGTATGTGTGACTTATTCCTGCCATAGTCATTTATGACTTATGAAATTCCTACAGAAAAGAAACCATTATCATAGCACAACAAACGAAGATAACTCGTAACTAAAAGTTTCGTTAAAAGCTGGCTTTAAAAATCCAGATGAAACTCATTTTCCTTCACCTTCAACCCGTAAGGCAAACCTAAGAATTAGTCCCGATTATTCACAAACATGACTGCAAAAGCACGAATTCCCGAACTCATGTCATGTGTACACAAGGACCGCAAAGCGTAATTAAACGGTTCACCTTGTCAAGGAACAGTTAGATCACGGTGTCTAATTAATAACAGCGTTAGCACCTTTATAAACAAAAAGAAAGGTTGGATTTGGTGGAAGACACCTCATGTAAGCCCCAAATAGCAACTACACATCAGTAAATAAATTATCAAGTTTTCAAAAGCCACTATTTTTTGTACAACTGCGGATAAGTGTAGGCTTGGGTCCCGGATCCCGTAGCGTCGCAGTCTTCAAGGCCTCAAAACGGCTCTTCGATGGCAAAATGAAACAAGAAATTGAACATACACCAGGTTCATCACAACGAATGTGCTGCTTCGATACATTATCTAAACAAATGGAAGTAATGATAAGTGACAGGCGTCCATACCGAAGTCGCATAAGGTATATTTGTGAAAACATTCAAGGAAAGCCTGGTTTATCGCGTAAATGCTATTGGTCCACTGTTAATCACAACGAACTTTCTTAGGTTCTTAGGCTCACAAGTTATGTTACGCCTTCATAAAGAATTCTGGCGCCACATTGGTTTCGCTGGCTAGTATCCACTAGGCGGCAGCTTCAACAGCTTACTTACTCAAATTAAAGTCAAAAAATGCTTTTTACTGGGTGTTTGGTACCTCCAATGGACAAACACAAACTTGTTTGCAAATGCTTAAAAGGTTTTAAGTAGGACCGCAAAGATTTCGAAAGTTTAATGTGAGTAGTGGAGAGACTGCTTGCGAAACCACAAACTGCCTTATAACCCGTCTTGATAAAAAGTCTCCCGAAAATTGATAAAAATCACTGCTTAATGGAGAAGGGAAAACCTAAAGTCCTAGTATGCTTTTGCAAGACTTTCTGCTATAGACAGCCACCTTGCTTCCAAGCCATGGCCAGAGCTAGTCGGAAGAACCTTTGATCAAACCAGGCGCGCCAGAGGTAAAAATCAACAAGATGTCTGCTAAAGTCAAGTTCATAACCTCCCTCTCTATTGAAGTGCGCATAACTTGATAAAAATCAAACACCACTCTCTGTAAGGCAGTTCTGCACGAATTTGTAACACTGAGGTAGGCGAAAGCCATCCTTCATAATGCAATGTGATAGATGATTTCGCCGTCAAAGTTGCAGCATTTGTGCTACTTAGAACTCAAAATGGGCGCATAAGTAGTACTTTACGTGGACTTGGCCTTGATTTGCTGTCTACTTGACTTTGATGATAGCAGCAAGACGTCCACGGGACTTCCAGCTAACATCACTCAGAATTGCTCGACTAAAACACATTTAACGATAAGAGGCAACAAAAAAAATATAAGATCGTTTCATCCTTCACAACGGAAAGGGTTACTTGCACACTAAGTGTCGTACCTTACTCCTGGAATTTTCGGTTTTAGGGGAAGTTTTAGCCAAAGACCTGTTCAAATTCACTCATTATAGTCGATGGATGGTTTTAAGCAATTTTAAAACCATGAAGAACTCACTGTGCACCATTTGGCGGCAGCGAATTAAATGTTTGCATCTTCTGGTCAGTAGAATCGCACCAGGAGTAGACTGCAGCATTACTTCCGTTAGCACCTCGAAACTGAATTGGTTGTCCAATATAGGTCGCATCAGGACAGCCTTCGTTAACCAGGCACAGAGGTAAATGCGGGCAGCCGCTATGAGCCACTCGCCCCAGGCTAGAAAATCGGTCGAATGTGGTTAACGAGGAGATATCGTTGATCGACTTTTGATCTGTATACAGAGAATTCTCAATCGGAGCCGCCATATTAGAATTGCAAAACGTTTTATCCATTGTGGCTTCATAAAATGTGTTCATTGGAAGACGTCCTAATGAGGACACAAATCCCTCTAAAATTGGAAGACAGAAGATAGGGTAAATTAATATCTCTTAGTATTAAAGTATCGGTAGGAATTCCCCCAGGTTCATGTTTGTAGCAGCTTTCATCAATGGACAAACTATTGTTTAGAAGGATTGTGCTTCAATCTTGTTTAGCTTTTACAAGAATTGATGGTTCTTTACCAAGAGTAAAGGTCTGATCAAAATAAACTTGCTCAAGGATCGAAATTCAAAATGCGACCCAAGCACATTTACTAGCGTATTTTGCTTAAGGGATTCAAATGATATCAATGCTTCCACAATACAAGAAAACTAGTTAAAAGCGATTTTATTAGACATACCATCAGACGGAGGACACTGCAGTGGGCTTCCCTTTTCCAAGGCATACGAAGCTGATCCCACAGTGGTTATGTAGTCTGCGCCATTAGTGAATACCATAGGAGTGGAACAAGCCGGTAAATGACTGCTACCAGGCGTATAGAAGCTTACCGCATCAACAGTATTCATTTGAGCTGCTTTGACGTGGGTGGCAGCTGGGCAACAGAAACGTAGCCGGTGGCCCTTGGACATTAAACAGATAGCCACGACGAGCACCACAAAGGCTATTGAGACACCAAAGGCAATGATGATGATTAAGTAGATGTTGTTAAGTGCAGCTGAACTTTCGCTTGCTTGACTTCCCATGAGTGAGTCACTCATGAAGCTAGGAGCAGACGTAGGTGGCAGAGTGGGATCCAGATAGATGATTAAATTGAATGTGGAGGAACGTGGTGGAGTCCCACCATCGGTAGCGTGAACCTGGAGGGGATATCGCATCTGAAGAATTAAAAAAAATTAGAGTGGATGACAAGTGTATTTAGCTTGGCTGCCCGTATTTATCATTGAAATAAATTCTTCTGCATTATTGATCACTTACGTAACAGAACAGAGACCACCGGAAGTCTGAATCTACTGCTGTTGAGGGATGCATATCTGTGGTGATCAGGGGTGCTGATCAATTTGAAGCGCTAGAAATACCTCGTAGCAGCGTCATAACATAGCCAATTTCGAATTATTTTAAACTTGAGTGCACTCATTCTGTCCAAATTGACGCATGGTTAAAACCGATCGCCGCAGGCAGCACAATGCCGAAGTGCGTTTGAGCGATGAACGTGGAGAGAAAAGTTCCAAGGACAGTGGGAGAAAAAGATAGTGTGCCTTTTCTCAACACAACACACGGTCACAGTGAAAACAACTTTGAGTTATCTATCTTCCACTCCCACTTTGCTTATCTTCGCTCTTGTTTCAGAGCATACTACCAAGTTTCTTCAGACATTTAGGCAGTGCTGTAGCCTTTCCCAGGGGAGAATAACCGAAAAGAAGCACAAGTCACCTTAATAATTGTCCAAGTGAACAAGCAATACACTAGTTTTAGAAAGATTGACAATTAGAACAGCCATATTGTGGTGAGGATTTAGATCACGTCAACAGGATGAGGGAGCTCAGCATTAATTTGCTTCTGAGTGCAATTCCAAATATTGACTACTGAAATTTTAACTATAGTCGTAGCCCTTGGTGAAGTAAATCAACCGAATCTTTACAAACTTTAATACACTCGTATGCCTTTTTTAAAGAGAAGCAATGCCACCATCATTGCGACACGGACGATAGACCACCGTGGATGTGTGAAATGTTATAACAGATGAAATAATTTACCACTGCTTATCAATAATCTGATTTTATGTTAAAAATTTCTTGAAAATAGAAAGCAATGGATAAAATAGCCAAAATGTCGTCATTTTGTTCATAAATTGAACAGTTCCTGGCAAGATATGTACTTACATGCTGTTTATAGAGAGAATAAAGATACATTCATACTGGTAGTGATGGAGTAATAATCTGGATACACGCATATATTAATGACAATTCAAAGGATTTAAGGCGCCAAAACTTCCAAGAGAAATAACAAGGGAAAGAGGGCAAATTAAGTGACATGCCTTATGCGTATTGACTTACCTCTTTCGTTGAGGTGGATAACTTAGCAGCAATAAATAATTCTCCACTGTCCTCAGAGACGCGGAAAAGTTTTTCTGTGCTACTGACACTTAACTCTTCCGTCAGAGTGTACCGAATGTCCGCATTCACGCCCGAATCTGCATCTTTGGCCTGCAGCTTGGCAACTCGATACCCAATTGGTTCCAGGGCTGACATTCTTATCTTAAGAGAACAGGCTTGCCTTCAAGGCCTCTGAGCCAGAAAATTCTTTAACGAGCTATAATTGGATTATACATGCTCTGTAGTTCGTAAGGTACGTGGGTCTCACGATGCATGGTTTTAATTTTTTTACCCCGTTCTGCCCTAAAACACTGAAAAAACTTTGAAGCTTTGCACCATTCAGGATTTCTACCTCACACTTCGGCATTACATTAAAATTTTTCATTTGTAGCACTTGTCTAAAGTAGCTAAATCAAATACCTGCAATGAGACTCCTTTTCTCCTTAAGGGGGCAATACGTGATTTGAACGTACCTCCGGAAGGGAACCCGAGGTGGAATTGAGTCGAGGAAAGATGAAGACGGGAGAGTGATCATTAATGTCGGTGACTGTAATGCGTACCTGGGCGGTGGAATTCAGAGTTTTATCGGGCGACCGTGGAGGCGGCGAATCTCTCGCCACAACAGTTAGCAAGTACGAGGATTTTATTTCTCTGTCCAGCTGTTGTACTGCAAATATCGTTCCATTTGAAGAAATCTAGCGGTAATGAAAGATATATACATTTATACTACCATTAAACCATCTCCAATGGCCTTTTAGAGTTCTAATGCGGTGAGTCATCAGGATTAAATGCGATATTTGAAATGGTGCTGGGTCTATACCAGCCAGTGGCAGTTTTAAAGGATTTAAAACATACCTCATGTTAGAAAAGTTCCTATCTCTATAAGCAGAGAAACATGAAACGAGAAGATTGTTTAACTCATAGTGGTTTCTTCAGTCACAAATCCACTGGACGACCTGGCTTTCGGCTTGAAGTTGTTTTGTCTTCGTCGTCGAATTACAGTGACAATGTAACATTGACAGCCCTCGCATTCTAGGAGGAGGATTTGATTGTCTGGTTTCATGTAAAGCCAGCTTATTGGCAAAATATTTTGCCATGAACTTTTGGACCGACAGTAAGCGAGAATGGAGCGCTGACAACAAATTGCCTAATAGACGAATCCTCTTCCCTGATGGCGCCAGCTAAGCCAAGGATACAACGTATGCTTGAACAATGTCTCATTTTTGTCGCTTTTTTAAGAGTGACGCAATTCAAAGTGTGCTACACTGAATTACTCTACTTCTAGGCTTACAGCTACTGAGATATGCTATGCCCTCGAAGCCGACTAATGACGAGACTTTAACAGTTCCAGACTAGCAACATCGTCACTTTGTCAAAATACCAAGCCGTTCAGATTAATTATGTCCTTGCCTTAGTGGCAAAGCAACCTTAACTATGTTTCGGCCACCACTGCTGCATTCATGTTACGGCAGTTAATGGCTTACCAGACTTTCCATACGTTTATAATGCTGCTTTATTTTCTAACTCCTTGTACGCCTTTCAGCGGCTTCAAAGGTCACTCGAACTGCAGTTTTATGCAGACTGAATCATGACGAAACCGAGTGCACAAAATTGTGGTTCTGTACCCCCATATCAAATTGTACGATTTCCGAATGCGTGATGAAGTTTGCTTTGTGGTAACAACTTTCTAAGGTAATCCAACACGAGTGTCCCAAATAAAGTGCAGCAATACTAATGGAAGGCTGCAATTTATTTCATTTTATGCGATTAAATTACTCCTTGCACGAAACGTTGCGAATTTTAATCAAATAACGCAAAATAGTTACAGCATACATACTTTAAATGGTGTGTCGGTGCCCTCGAGGAAGAAGTGGATCTCAGCATTGCCTCCAGTGTCGCAGTCGGAGGCCTGAACTATACCCACCTCCCTAGGGCCGTGTTTATAGGGTTCCACATCCTCGTCAATTGAGAAGTGGTAATTTGGAAAGTCGAATTTGGGAATACAGTCATTCTCATCCTCAATTTCTATGCATACCTCCACCGATGTGCGGTATGTGGGTCTCCCTTTATCCTCTGCTACCACCTTGAGAATTAAAAAACAAATTATCTCCAAATAGTTCTGCCCATATTAAATAGAATGTACCAAAGACTAGTTTACTCCGGCCATACTACCACACTTTAAGCAGTGGGTGGTTAAAGTGGAAACATGACTTGCAGCCCATTCACGACACCCGGACGGCAGCCTTTATTAGGCATGCCGATGTAAAACGGAAGTGGATACCACAATTTACCGAAGTTATTGTGACTCATTCTCATCGATGGGGCTGAGTATATGATTTTAACCCTAAGGAAAGAAGATGCTACAGTTTGTCAAGGAAATTGACTTGAAACATGTGGCACGAAGAGTTCACATATTTTAATAAAACCTGGGAACAAAAGTTGCCACCTAGGGAGAACACTACCTAGGCAACCCAAATCGTACAAAGGCAGGCCATCAGGTTGTCGTTAGGATACTAGAACCCATGTGATGAGTTTACATGCTAATTGTTAACATCAATTTGTCTAAAACTGAAAAAAATACTTAGTTGAACTACTTCCTAAAAAATAAGTTCAATTGAAGCTATTCAAAGAATCTTATTTCGGCAAAAAACTGAAATAATCGAGTCCCTGGTACATATCAGCCAACTTGAAACCGACAATATTTTAACGATAATTCTCTGCCTGTAGAAAAAAGGAAGAATGTATGCTCACAGTGAACAATAAGACCTGCGGATTGGTTTCTCGATCGAGCATTTCATTAGCCCGAACTTCTCCCATACCGCTGATGGAGAAGAGGTGCTGATATTGACCAGTTTTACAGGAAATTGAGAAGTCCACCAGTCCGTTCTTGCCTGCATCGTTATCTTGCACAATCACTCTGCCTACCAAAGTTCCTGGTGGTCGATTTTCTGGGATCTATGAAGAACAGAGTCCCATCATATAAGTTCGCTTCGACTTTTTTAATTCATTCAAAATGATAATTAAATGAGGAAGACTCCTATCCTTACTCAGCATTTTATAGGGATGAGAGAGAACTGTTCATTACCCAAAACTTTCTTTGCATGACAATTATCTGCAACATGCATCTGACACATGAGTGGCTGAATGCTTCGCTTCTTCTTTGCTTACGATCAGAGCTTAAGCTGGAGCAAATTGTTGGCGAAAGGTGTGGGGGCAATTAAAACAGCCCCAAACGGACTATCCAACATACCAATAGCCATTATAGCTCGTTTTTTACATTGGTTGTTAAATGCAAGATTCTAGCATAACTATGCAAAAATATAATGAAGTGATGAGGGGAAGTGTGTGAGAGCATTACTCACTGTACTTTATTAGTCGTACTGACACGCCTTGAGATGAATCACAACTCGCCTCAGATGTGCACATTGCCCTTCACCCACCAAAATTATACCACCGTTTGACAAATCACAGAAGCGTGCTTTGAAGATTAATCAACAGTGCTTATTTTACAAATGAATTTCCTGTTTTTATATGGCGGATGGTAAATAAATAGTATCCTGCTCCTAATGATGCTATACAGCTGTTCGTAAAAGGCAGCGCAGAGGAACAATTTATGCCACTTAGTATTCCCATTTAATGAGCCGTTCATCATATCATGCTAAAATTTATTTCCTTGTCACATATCTTGTGCTGGCACGACAAAACGGATAATCCAGGGTAAGCTGAAACACGTTACCGTCACAAAGCAACCACAATATTTGCAAATCCTTCCATCCAGATGGTTTCAATCAGCGAACGAGAGGTGCAACTTCACGGATTACCCAACCACAGTTGGAGAAAAGGGAGAAAAACTACGCACCTAAAAGTGCCAGGTAAAATGAGCCGCTTAATGGCCCCTAAGTTTTAACACAAAAAATATAAAATGCAATGCATTGTCGTCAAAAAATTGACTTTTAAGTATACGTAGCGCAATATAAAGCGTGGAAGGGACGCAAACTCAGCCATACATATATAAAGGGCGAATTTTAGTGGGAGACGTGACTCCATCTGTATTGATATTCATCACAACTTGTAAGCCTCATATCAGAGATCGTAAATCCAAAAATGCTTCATGTTTGTGGCTTTAGTGACTTCATAAGAAAAGTTAACCGGGTCCTCGCGGTCGGAAGAGAGGGGAAGAAAGGGGAAAGGCATCATCGCTCCAATCCGATAACAATGACAATTATTAGTTTAATTAAATATGTGAAATAAAGTGCACTAATGTTATATAAGTCTCGTTCAAAATTACCACAAACTGGATATGACACCGATTGTAGACAATAAAACCACGGTTTGGACTCAGAAATAACGTAGCTCTTCAACAAGGCAGAATACCAAACCTCACTTAAGTGTCAGTGAATTTTATTGAAAGAAATCAAATCTCGTGCCTCGCCTTCTCTAGGATTAAATAAGTAACCGGAAACCGACCAAAAACTGTCACGATGTCACTTAATCATTGACGTCATTCATTCCTTGAAATACTTAAAAGAAAAATGAAAATCACCCCATCTAAGGAGCACTCCTATTCTACTCGAGTAGCAAAATTTCCTGCGAGGTCGCACACGCAGTAACCTACTTAAATGTCTCGCCTGAGCACCAACCAACCACTTTGTTACCATTTCCTAATTGAAGTCACAATGGGGAATGAAAGTGCATCTTCCTTCCTTTTCGAAGTCCTATAGCAAATACCCTCTAAAGTTAAACAGTGCTTTGTAACTTTGTTGTACTGCAGCCACCTGCGGGATGAGTAGGACTTAAAGATGACAAATTCACCAATTCGGCAGGATCGTTCGCGCTTCAACCTCCGAAATCGGAATTTATGTGTTTATGTCTGAGTTAATTCACGTCGGATTGCAGACACCTCTGAGGCTGAGTGGAATAACTCATGTCGCAGCAAGGGGTACAAAAATCTCCAGTTTTGGTGAAAAGGACTCATTGTCAAGACGTGACTATTGATTTCGATTCACATTTACATAATGCGCCTCAGAAGTCCATCCAACCTCAATTTCGATGTGACCGCTGCATTTCAAGCAATCCCATTATTTTCAGACAAATCTGTCAGTCAATGATAGTGTTGGTGACCGCTCAGACCAATCATTTTCAAGCAAAAAGAAACAGCTTTTTCTTCAACAACAACATCTACTATCACTTGGCAAAGGATGGATAATAAATTGAAAATTTAACCACAGCAAGACCCAATATTAACTATTTTAAAATGGTTACTGCCCAAATAAAATTAGACTTTTTATACCCGAATGCTTTTTTGAATTATGCTTCAAAACTGCGCATATAAACCGACATAACGATTGAATACATGTATCCACATGAGGTTGTATGCAATAGCATATTTACACCTGCAGAGGAACCCGATTTGTCATTGATTTGAATCTCAAGAAGGTTTCTACAACTAGAACCGTTTGAACAGTGACTCAACGTCCCAACAAAAGTAGCGCATGGATTAAAGCCAGTCATTCAATGAATCAAGTTACCGAAAACTGGTAGAACTGTTGCTGGAAATAGGGCCGATTGTCATTGATGTCGATGAGAGTGATGGGGATTATTTTGCTTGATACTCGAGGTGGCACGCCTCGATCAACACAGCTAAGTGTAACGGAAGTCAAAGCCTCCATTTCTCTGTCGAACCTACGCGCCGAAAGGAGCTGGTAGACCTTTGTTGCACCGATCCAGGGCAGTGCATGCAAAGCAAAGTCCTGTGTCGTACTCAGACCGCACTCGAATTCACCATCAGCATCCGAATCGGGATCGGTTACCGCCACAGTCGCCACCATCTGACCTGAAGGCATTTCTTCTACCAAACAGAAGGTATCCCTACTATCCTCGAATGTGGGGTAGAAGGTTGTGTCGTACATATCTTCTATCTTTGGTGTCGCCGGAGTGAGACTTATAATCGGAGCATTATCGTTGACGTCATGGAGGGCAATTACCACAGTTGCTAAGGCGGTTAGAGGTTGTGGAGCGCCGTCCTCTGCGATCATTGAGAAGACGTATTCAGGAATACCACCGGCATCGCAATCCAAAATATTTTTTACGATAATCTTGCCAGTTTCTGACTCAATGGCAAAATCGCGTTTGACGAATTCGGGTGTGGAGAATGAGAAACGATAACGTACGCGACCGAAGTCCCCAGCATCGGCATCTGTTGCTATGGGATGAAACGGAAGAGCCGTACCAATAGCCAGTGATTCGTCAATTTCAATAACAAAACGAGCTCTTTGAGCCTCCTCCTGGGAGGCATTCTTGAGATGGACAAAAATAGGTGGATTGTCATTTTCATCAACAAGGTATACTCGAAGTCCGACAACAACACGTTGTCCGCCTCCGTCAGCTGCCGCTATTTGCATCTCGTACTCTTCTCTCTCTTCTCTGTCCAACATTTCCAAAACCTGCAGACGTGGGATAACTCCATTCGGTCCATTTGTACAACGAAGGGAAAAACGACCATTCTTATCCATCTCCACAAGCTCGTAATTAACTATACCATTATTCCCGTAGTCTCGATCTTCAGCTAAAGGCAGATCAAACATGCTGCCAGTCGGTGTGTTTTCTGCTATGAATAGTTCAATCGACGGTTCTTTCTCTTCTGAATTGCGTGGCTTGCTCAGGGCGGAATCAGGCCACCGAGGGATGTTATCATTGACATCGATGACAGTTATGCGCAGACTAAAGACAACACCATCGTGGGCGAAGAGAACGCCTGACCATGCACACGTCTCTGGCCAACTGGCTTCGCGACACAACTTTCGGTCATTGTCGCGATCAAGCAGGCGATTAACTACTACAATCTTTTGACCTGGCCCTCTAAGAGCAAAATACGTTGTGTCTTGCAACATGAACAAGGGTCTACCATCCTGTCTTTTAGAGTAATCGGATCCATTAAAGTTGTCAAATGTCCCCACGACATCTCCAACAGCCGCGCTCTCGAAGACGACAAAGTTTATAATGCCCGCATTATATTTTGAGGACGACATGGAGAAGTCAAAGAGGACTGAGACCATGTAAACGATGGAAAGGCCAATGCTGACATAGAAGTACAACATAATGCTTTTGGAGGCAAGAAGTAGGGGGACGTGGGCTACAACAATGTGGACTCTCCACTAACGCACATGAGTTGGAGTAGTCTAAGGCTCACAGGAGGCAGCTGATTGGAGCAGCTGAGGTGGGCCAATTGGGTAAGACCACCATTCCGCGACGAGACTTGCCCAACCTCTCGGTTGAGGGAGCGGAGACAGCTTCTTAAGCATAATTAGCTATGAATAGATAGAATGCTAAGTAGTGAGCCATCACTCACCTCCCTAAGATTATTCGAGCAGTTAACGTAGCCGCTGAAATTTGAGTATAGTCATTTCATTCGTTAAACTCCAACGTGGATAAATGAGTGGGCCATAAATTTGCACTTTTCTATTTCATTGATTGTTTCAAAAGTTGGATTAGATTTTCAATTTAGGATTGAAGCTCAGTACAAGGTGGTGTAAGGCATGGTAGGGTAAGGCATATTAGTACTCAGGAACTATAATCAACTCCGGTGAATTTTTATCGAGGTTCTTTAAGTGTCATTTGGGATGGAAAGACTGACATCCCTTAAATATAGATAAGAATAGAGAACGGCGGGAAGGGTTCGGTGTTTGAGGCAGTACAAAGTTAGTAGCCCTAAAAGTGAAAGTAACCATTTAGACAGCATTGAGTTACGCCGAATTCTACATTTCACTCCAGATCAGTGCCGGTGCAATTTAGAAATGCTTAGGTAGGTTTAACTTTAAAACCGCAGCTCGCTCTCATTTGTTTACTAATAATTTCCTATGCCGTACAATAGGAAAATATTGTCAGTTTGGAAAGACAGTTCTTCTTTCAAATAGGTGGCACTTCAGCCGCGTTTTTGTTAAAAAAATCCTGAAAAATAAATACATCAGCTTCTTAACTTGCATATCAGAGTCTAAATGAATGACGCCCTTGCCATTAGGAGTAAGCAGCAATAACCAAGGGATCTAGTGAGTTGGGAGTAGGGAGAATTTCTCCTCCGCACTGACACCATGGCATCCTAATGGATGGGCGAGGATGTGACCTTCGATGGTGCGGGGCTTAAAGTAGTGGCAAGTCCGTGTCAAACCAGAGTTCACTTGAAATGTGATTCCACGCACAGAATTTTCAAATCCACTAATTATTAGCCCTTACGGCCGACGTTGTTGGCTCCCTTAATCAAAAGTTTTTTTAATTCTTCAAGTTAAATAAATCAAGTTTGTTGCATATTGAATCAGATTGTCTTCAATTGCAGGTGCGTTCATAAGAAGGGCATTTTAATCCATGCTAAAGAAATGTTAGCTCAGGTTTTGACTATTTGGTACTTGGAAAAGACCTCATTATGTCACAATTTTGCCTACGAAGTTAAGAGTTGCTGTTTGTTCCATGCCCAACTGTCCTTTGCGCTCATATCCCAATTCCGCACGGCTTTATGCACAATACCTTGAGAGAGTAATGCACGAATTCAATCCCAAACATTAGTACTCAACTATTCTTATTCCGCAATAATTGTCAAAACGATTCAACTCGTTTGTTTAGTGTGTTATTAAAAAAAACGTAAAATACACTAAGAGAGGCAACAGCTTACCAGTGCTACATACGAGTTTAACCAGTAATTAATTATTTCACTCTGTGAAAGGATACAAGACAACTTGACAATTTATAGATCACTCCTTTTATTTAAGGCCAAAGTGATAGGTTCCAAAAGAAACTCACTTTATCGTATGTATTTTAGGCTGAATTATTTTCTGGCAGTTAAATTGCAGCTCTTTTAAAAAGGAGTCAGGTATTTTTCAAATATTTAATTCATTGCCAGTATTCAGTGCTTAATTTTTGGCGCCAATTTTGCCTTCTGAAATAAGTGGTATTCGTTTACACGAATTCGGAAACAGTTAAAACAAATGTGCAAGGTCAATGAAGCACAAAGCCTCGATAGTGTTCCTTTTTGAATAGCGTGGTATCAAGATATTACACGCCAGCCGTGGCATTTAGGTGACCGCCCTTTGAGATGGCGGAAAGGCTGCGTGGGCGAAATTGAGACTTACGCCTTCTTTGCTTATCTGGATATGGTGTCTGCTAAAGGCCTCTTCCCTTCCCCGAAAAAGGGACTAACACAAGTCATGAGGTGCGCCCTTAATTTTTTTAAACTACGTTGATCAAGATGCTAAAATGACATTTAATATGCGATAAAGTTTATATTTATTAAGAGTTTTGAGTTGGGTCTTGTAGGGTACCATCATTGATTTACAGTGCTTGAGGATTCTCAATTTACTGTTTCAGGTAAATTTGAGGCAAACAACACCTGAATTTTGGGACATTGTAAATATTAATGCCTAAATGTGAGCTCCTGCACCGATATAATTAGCTAATTTGAAGTTGCCGATACGTGAGACAGTCGTCAAAAGATGTTTGCCTGATTTACCCAAAAAACGTAAACTAGAGGAACTATAGTAAAATGCAGCCCCTAGGACTTTCCAAACGACGAAGAGGCGTAGGGTTTGGACGGAAGAACTAAGTTAGAGGTGGAGAAAGGTTAGTGGTAGGCGGACTACTGGCGTGGTCCGGAAATCATGTCGCCCAGCGGAAGTACAAAATCCGAGCCTTAAATGCTCACGAAACCAAAATGTTGGCATAGGTTGCAACAGAGTTATAAGTTGGAACTCGGAACTTAGAGTGCTGTTTAAAGTTGGGCACGTATTAAGCGGCACGTTTATCCGCACCTTGACTACATTACCGCACTTGAAATGGCAAGTTCTCTTAAAACTCACACAAATCATTCCCGGGATCGGTGACGTTGCTTAACAAAAGAATCCCATTTACATCGAGTGACCTCTCGTCGATCTGTTAGAGATGACTTGCCTACGTTCATCCCAGCTCTTGAAGTATGCAAAAAGCTAGATGATAGGTGACAGAGGTCATTATTATCTCCAACGCTGATGTATGCGTGCGCGTTAGCAGTTTACGTATTCATAGTTACAGAGAGTGGTAAGCTATTTAAATTTGGCGATCAGATATGCACATATCTGCGACCACCTCCGTTGAGACCCTCCTTTCAAAGCTTGGTTGGAGATGGACGATCAGATTAGTTCAGGGACTATGGCGTAGCCAGAATGGAATCGCTTATGGAGCTATGGCTCTGATGCTAGTGTAGCTTGATGGTGTTTTCTTTTTAATGCAAAGCAACAGGTAAGGAGATTAAGCGTAGCGTTAGCTCCCTGTATAACTCTGCAATCCTTTGGAAAGTCCAGTTTATTTACTTACCTAATTTTAATTAAACGGGTTCTTGTTGACCTCATTTCATTCCGTGTAGCAAACACTTCCGCTACCTAAAGGTGTTGCCTAAAAACAAATACAGTACGCAACTGACAAATGCAGCTTAGCAGACAATATGGAAAGAGACAATGGATTGTCAAGTGGTAAGTAGCATTGCAATGGCGCTTCAAACAGTTAACGTTCTGTTTTAGCTTACGACTTAAGATTATTGAGTGTGTCGTTAGAACTCTCGCCCAGATGATAAACGAATGTGGTGAAATGAAAAGTTGATTATTTGCATATTTGGTACAAATAAGGTGGGAAAGAGCCACCTTCCTATTTAAGGTTTAAAAATTTGTAAAAAATTGTTTCCACATCTCTAAATTGAAACTCTGCCATTTGATGGAAGCGTGGAAATCTAAACTAAAGCGCTTCCGGAAATTTCCTGCAAAGAAATTAAAAAATGAACCGCTGTAGGGATGTCATGTGAATACAAAGTATGCGACAGTTGGAGGAAGGATTTTTTGAAAAAAAATGTTAGAATCTTTTCCGTTTTAAAGCCAGTGAAAGATATTTTGTAAAAATGCGACGATAGCTGACTAGAAGTGTCTTCACTGTCAATGTTTTACGTTAATCAGAAAAACTCCAAGGTGGGTATTCAGTATGGCTCAAGGGAAGTTGGAGTTCGAAAGAAAGTTTGCCAGAAAACTTAATATGGACTGCTACTTCATGTTTACATTATTGATGATGATATCCCGGAGGGGCTTGTCGCTTTCCTTGTCACTGAAACGCAAACAATGTCATTTTATGGAATTGCTAGTCCAACCGCCATACATGGCTTTAAAAAAGTAACATGTGCTGCAAAAACTATTTGAAATACACGACGAAAGAGAGAAGGTGAGAAGGAGAGGTGGAAACTTCTACCTCATACCTAAAGCCCTCCTTAAGGCTGATTTCCAAAAAAAATAATCTTCACTGGATACGCAATTTTCTTACCTGCTTCCTCTAAGATCCCTTCATTTATCGAAAAGGCAAAAAAGCCTTTTACTTTTTGGAAACTATTTTCCTCAATTTTCTGCATTTAAATCGGCAACTTTACTTCGCTCGAACATCCTCTAGCGTGAAGTTTTTGAAATAATTTCAATAGCTATAGTCACGCAAGATCCTACAGGACCCGTCTAACATAAAAGAGATGGTAAATGGAAGCAAAGGGTCATGTTTACTTAGGAACCCATATGTGTAGGTCACTTTTTGCCAACATTGAAGCATCAAAGCTCCTCCTCGATAAATTTTTACCCTTTTTAACAAAAGTTTGGATAAACTCCCCAAAGTCTCTACGGAAAGCGCATTTTCTACAGTAATATTTTAAGTTACGAGTCGTCACAATTTTCTATCAGTTAAAGCGCATTTGAGGGTGGACATGTAGGGTGTGCCGAATTCTTTCATTTGATTTACCCACGTTAAGGCGAACAAAATGTTTGGAGAGTAAGTAGAAAGTTTCTTCTGCATTGCTTTGAAATCTTTAAATGTTCCAATTCGCTTCTCAATTCCACGTAATCGCAACTCCTAATTTCTTTTACTGTCCATGGCAAGGAAATGGAAATGCTCATCAGACTGTAGTTATGCTCCTTGAATGTTATTGTGCCTTATTATTGAAGTCAATTTTTTAGCCTGCGCGAACCATCACTCGAGATTTTTACGAACCCCACAAATAGATTTAATAATGTTAGCATTCAGTTGATCCCCCTATGTGTATCTTGGCCATCATTGT